GATGATATGTGTATCAACAGTTGCCCAGTGTGTTTCAGGGGTGTGTAACGCTGCAACAAACTTTTCCTAACTTGGAGAGTTTGATACACAAAAAGCGGAGGTTCACACTAGCTACGGTAACTCTGTTAAGTTGATCAAGCTAGGGAAATATGTTTATTTCCTTCCTTACAATGTGTGGTTTACATATTGCAAAATATTAATTGCAAAGAAAGTCACTAGTATGCCTAGGCATTTCGGGCAGTAAGTTTTTATTCAGGTGGACTCGACAGGTGGTGCAACATCCCCCCCCCCCAGTGAAAAGCTGGGGCGCCAAACTCACCTAGTTTGAAATTGAAATTGAAATTGAAATGTCTGTTTCTCTGTAAAGATTACAATGGGTGGTTTACTTATTATAAAATAACAATTACAAAGAAGGCCACTAGCATGCCTAGCAAGCCTAGGCATTTCGGGCAGACCCTTTCATATCCTTATTTAATATCTTTATGCAACCTATAGGTGGCCCGGTGGTCTGGTGGCTGAAGCTCCCGCTTCACACACGGAGGGCCCGGGTTCGATTCCCGGCGGGTGGAAACATTTCGACACGTTTCCTTACACATATTGTCCTGTTCACCTAGCAGCAAATAGGTACCTGGGTGTGGGTCGCATCCTGGGGGACAAGATTAAGGACCACAATGGAAATAAGTTAGACAGTCCTCGATGACGCACTGACTTTCTTGGGTTATCCTGGGTGGCTAACCCTCCGGGGTTAAAAATCCGAACGAAATCTTATCTTATCTTATCTTAACCCATCATACCCATGGTGTGGGAGGTAGTCAAAAGATTGCAGCCAAAGTGTACCTAATACCTACCGGTTACTCAAAAGCTACTCATATTGTGCTGAGGATTCCTCAATCACCTCAAAATTAGGATGTCTTAATTTCATTGTTTTAAATATTGCTAAATTGTAACACATCATATTGTAAATTGTTCTATTGTAGTACTGTAATCTTAATAAACTAATTCAATAGTGTAATTGTTCTCTACTAGACTTATCAAAGCCATGTAGCATTACCTAATACAATATTAAATTCTCTTGTACTCAATGTAACTTATATAATGACCATATGAACCATTATTGCCTTCCTAATCTTAAGTTAATTTTTAAGTTTTGCCAGAAATGTTCAGCATACTAAGGGGCTTTTGGCATGTACACTCAACTATTATATTAAACTGTACAACCATGTATCATGTCAAAACAAAATTCTTATTCTTATTCAAGTTACAAAGGTGATGAACTCCAGGTAGATCTGGTCACAATTATGACCCAAGTAATGAATCATCGTGATGAACTCCAGGTAGATCTGGTCACAATTATGACCCAAGTAATGAATCATCGTGATGAACTCCAGGTAGATCTGGTCACAATTATGACCCAAGTAATGAATCATCGTGATGAACTCCAGGTAGATCTGGTCACAATTATGACCCAAGTAATGAATCATCGTGATGAACTCCAGGTAGATCTGGTCACAATTAAGTAAGTAAGTAAGTAAATTTATTCAGGTATACACAATACAGTTACATAGAATTATCATACATAGCAGCATATGTGTAGAGAACCTAGGATAACCCACGGGTGTGGACGTGTGAATTGTTTTATTTACAGTTATAATGCTTTATTTACAAGCACAGTCAGGGTATTTTTCCAGAATGGTTTGTAATATATCACTGTGGATAAAATACTTTGACATGCCTTGAACATTTCTGAGTGAGTTGTCTCTGAATTCATTAATTTTATCGCACTTCAGTACATAATGACGCAAGGTGTGATGCACTCCAGTACATGCTGACGCAAGGTGTGACACACTCCAGTACATTCAGACGCAAGGTGTGACACACTCCAGTACATGCTGACGCAAGGTGTGACACACTCCAGTACATGCTGATGCAAGGTGTGACACACTCCAGTACATGCTGACGCAAGGTGTGACGCACTCCAGTACATAATGACGCAAGGTGTGACACACTCCAGTACATTCTGACGCAAGGTGTGACACACTCCAGTACATGCTGACGCAAGGTGTGACACACTCCAGTACATTCTGACGCAAGGTGTGACACACTCCAGTACATGCTGACGCAAGGTGTGACACACTCCAGTACATAATGACGCAAGGTGTGACGCACTCCAGTACATAATGACGCAAGGTGTGACACACTCCAGTACATACTTAAGCAAGTTGTGACGCACTCCAGTACATAATGACGCAGGGTGTGACAATAGTCAATCTGGCAAAAGTTTACATTTCGTTTGGTGTACATCTGGTGGTGGTGATTTAACCTGCCAAAGATACTTATAACCCAGCCAGATTATTATTATTATAATCAAGGGAGAAGCGCTAAACCCGGTGGATTATACAGTGCCTGGGGGGGAATGTGGAAGGCATTCAGGCTTAATTCGGGGAACTGGAGCACAGATCCAATTCCCTAAATCAAGAGCCCCTCACCAACATCAAGGAACCTTCCTTGAGGGGAACCCAGCCAGAGCCAGGCAGTAGTGATATCCAAGAGTCTGCTTATTTTTTGGATGCACCATATTATTATTATTGTAATCAAGGGGGAAGCGCTAAACCCGGAGGATTATACAGCGCCTGGGGGGGGGATGTGGAAGGTATTCAGGCTTAATTCGGGGAAGTGGAGCACAGATCCAATTCCCTAAATCAAGAGCCCCTCACCAACATCAAGGAACCTTCCTTGAGGGGGAATGCACCATAGATATGTGCCTCCTTTTACTAACTGCAAACGGGTCATATAGATCAGTTTCTGATAGTTGTTCCATCATTGAAAACGAGAGAGAACTAGTATGTTATGTGTGTAACTGAAGTAATTTGTTCTGTTTGCGATGTTGACAATCAAGGGACGTTAGTAATGGTCGCTTTGTGAGGTTTGAAGGTTATCGACTGCATGGGGGTCATTAAGACGACTGGATATAACCTGCAGACCACGGTCGTGATTGCTTAATCACGACGTTAAAGATTAAAGTAAAGTCTTGCTGCTATGTATGATAATTAACCTTTGTAACTTTATTTGTGTATACCTGAATAAACTTACAAAGACAGTGATACACACTCCTCTGTGTATATATACTGAGAGACTTACCTCTCGGTGTATATATACAGAAAGATATACACCTCTCTGTGTATATGCCTCTCGAAGTATATACACTCGGGGCCAGGAGCTGAGTCTCGACCCCTGCAGCCACAATTGGGTGAGTACACGGGTGCCCCGTGGTTCGGTTGGCAACGCACTCGCCTCACACAGTGTCCGTGGTTCAGTCCCCTGCATGGGTGGAAACATTGGGCATGTTTCCTTACACCTGTTGTCCCTGTTCACCTAGCAATAAGTAGGTGCCTGGGTATCAGTCAGTCGACTGTTGTGGGTCGCATCCTGGGGAATGGAATAGACTGCCCGCACATGTCAAAGCCAGTCATAGCATGAACCAGTTCAAGAAGAGTGCCAAAAGGTGTCTGATGAATGTAGCTACAGAAAGGGAGGGGAATGATTTTTTATTTTTTAGCTAACACACGTAAATTTACCTTATTCCTAGTAATGACCCTTGTATTGTAGATAGTCTTAATGACCCTAGTGTAGTAGATAGTCTTTTTAGTATGATAATAAGATGTTATCTTCATTATAGAATAATAAGAAAATATTATAACCTTTATATTATAATAATAAGGTAAAAGGACCCCAATGGAAATAAGTCACTGTGACTTTTTTGGGTTATCCCAGGTTCTCTACACATATGCTGCTATGTATGATAATCTATGTAACTGTATTTGTGTATACCTGAATAAACTTACTTACTTAAGGAAATAAGACAGAGAGTTCGTGACGATGCACTAACTTTTTTGGGTTATCCTGGGTGGTTAACCCTCCCCTGGGTTAAAAATCCGAACACAGGATATATACACATAGTATATATATCCTGAGGAATGTACACCTTTGTATATACCATGTCCTTCATTATACTGTGTTATAATATCCTTGCATGCTTTAACACTTATTGAGTTCTCTTTCAGTGTATTCATCGCTTCCTTGTTTTTCATTGGAGGCATCATGCACCGTCTGCCAAACTCTTGTGTTCATAAGTAATAATTTCAATGTTTAATTTTGGGACCAATCCCTCCAGTATCTTCCAGATGTAGATTATGATGTATCTTTCTCGCCTACATTCTCAGGAGTACAGATATAGGGACTTCAAGTACTCAGTAATTTAGGTGCTTGACTGAGTTTATACGAGCTGTGAAGGTTCTCTGTACATTTTCCAGCTCTTCAAATTTGCCTGCCTTGAAGGGGGCCGTTAGTACACAGCAATATTCCAGCCTAAAGAAAACGAGTGACCGGAAAAGTATTGTCAATGTCTTGGATCCCTTGTTTTGAAGGTATTAGTTATCCAAGCTATCATTTTTCATTTGCTATAATAAATTTTTTGTGTTCCTTGAACGTGAGATCTGACATACCATTTCCAGAGGATGGGTATGGGGTGACCTACCACCCAAAGGATGGGTATGGTATAACTGCCGCCCTTAGGATGGGTATGAAGTGACTACCACCCACAGTATACCTAGAGATACCTGGAGAGGGTTTTGGGGGTCAACGGCTCCTGCGGCCCGGTCTGTGACCAGGCCTCATGGTGGATCAGGGCCTGATCAACCAGGCTGTTACTGTTGGCCGCACGCAGCCCGACGTACGAAACACAGCCTGGCTGGTCAGGTACTGACTTTAGTATGAGTAAGACAAGATAAGATAAGGTTTCGTTCGGATTTTTAACCCCGGAGGGTTAGCCACCCAGGATAACCCAAGAAAGTCAGTGCGTCATCGTATGGGTATGGGGTGACTACCGCCCAGAGTATGGGTATGGGGTGACTACCGCTCACAATATGGGTATGGGGTGACTAACGCCCATAGGATGTGTATGACGAATACAGATATCAAATAAACTCTTGTCTATCTTTCAGGATGTCGGCCTCTAGCCAGAGAAATGGACGTGTGTGGTTCACTAGCCGCAAGGTTCATGACGACCATATCAAACACCATCACAACCACAGGTAACCCACACATTAACCCTGCTTGCTGTCACCTCTTTGCACCTTCTGTTGAACCATGACCTCTCCAATAGATTTTACCTTTGCCGTTGCTGCTGGGTGGTATGAATCTTATGACCTCTTGGTATATTCTTAGTTCTTCCGTCATATCATGGAATGACTTTCCTCCCTCTCCCCCACTCTTCCATTTACCTTTCATACAAGAAAGTTCTCACTCCCTCGTAGTCTTCTCTCGTGTAAACTGACCTTCCATCATTCTCTCTAGTCCTCTTTGAACCAGATACTACAAAGAGCATCATCACTGGCTCCTTGTGGCTCTCCAGTCAACTTTTTTTTTCTGTGTCCAATTCGCTGAGACTAAAGACCAGATCCAGCCGTACTGGTTCGTCTGCACCTCCTTCCTGCTTCTTTTGTCAGCTGGATCAAGAAATTTTTAATTACATTCTGCATCAATCAAGCGGAGGTATACTCAGTGAAAGATCGCAGTCGGCAGGGTTCGAAATCACGTCAGGGGATTCTGACTCCCCTGATATATATATTATAATATATATATATATATATATATATATATATATATATATATATATATATATATATATATATATACATTATCTCTACGTCCACAGCAGGACTCGAACCTGCAAACTGTAATCAGAGTACACAGTACTCCGAGCCAGACCCCAGATAAGAAGGGGCGCTTAGCCGGAGCTAGACGATGTTTTCCCATGTCCCGGGACACCAGGCTTGTTTTCAAAGTTATTTAATCAAATCCTGCCACATGGAGTGGTACTCTGATACAGAGTTAGCAGGTTCGAGTCCTGCTGTGGACGTAGAGATAATGTTTGTAAATAATTCTAAATAATTTCGCCTGTTTGCGAATTAAGACACACACACACACACACACACACACATATATATATATATATATATATATATATATATATATATATATATATATATATATATGGAGGGAGGGGGTAAAGGAGGTTTTGTGTGCGAGGGGCTTGGACTTCCAGCAGGCATGCGTGAGCGTGTTTGACAGGAGTGAATGGAGACAAATGGTTTTTAATACTTGACGTGCTGTTAGAGTGTGAGCAAAGTAACATTTATGAAGGGATTCAGGGAAACCGGCAGGCCGGACTTGAGTCCTGGAGATGGGAAGTACAGTGCCTGCACTCTGAAGGAGGGGTGTTAATGTTGCAGTTTAAAAACTGTAGTGTAAAGCACCCTTCTGGCAAGACAGTGATGGAGTGAATGATGGTGAAAGTTTTTCTTTTTCGGGCCACCCTGCCTTGGTGGGAATCGGCCGGTGTGATAATAAAATAAAATATAAAATATATATATATATATATATATATATATATAATATATAATATATATATATATATATAATTTGCCAAAATTCACCTCAGACCTCCCGCACCGTCTTAACAATGGAAGAACTTTAATAATAACTGCTCAATTTTGCCGGTAACAGAGAAGTGTTGGGAATTATGGGCGGGAGTCGCAGGTCATGGATGATGGGTCACTTCCGGTAAACGAGGACATGGCGCCTCGCGGAAACCTTGAGGAATGTAACTGGGGGTCACTCTGGAGCCCAGAATGACCCCTCAGAGTGGGGGGTCACAGTGACTCCCAGAGTTTGGGGGTTATTGTGTGCTCGTTGTGGGTCTCTTTTAATGTCCAACCTATATTAGAAGTTATCCAAAGTTCTTGCCTCAATAAAGCTACCTGGGAGTTTGTTCCACTCCGTTTTGCATTTTATATGCCAAGATATTTTATTAATGAAAAAAAGGTGCCAAACACATTAAGTAAATATCCTATATTTGCTTGCAACAGAAAAACAACAGTGATAAGATTTTCTTCGGATTTTTAACCCCGGAAGGTTAGCCACCCAGGATAACCCAAGAAAGTCAGTGCGTCACCGAGGACTGTCTAACTTATTTCCATTGGAGTCCTCAATCTTGTCCCCCAGGATGCGACCCACACCAGTCGACTAACACCTAAGTACCTATTTGCTGCTAGGTGAACAAGACAATAGGTGTAGGGAAACGTGTCCAAATGTTTCCACCCGCCGGGAATCGAACCCGGGCCCTCCGTGTGTGAAGTGAGAACTTTAGCCACCTAGTTCCTAGGCCTTTTGTGCATCCATATGCTTCTGTACTACCATTCACAGGATGGATATACGGTGCACAATAAATTAACTTCGACAGCGAAATTGAATTTGTATGACCCTAGTGGATTTAGCGTTTTCTTACAAATATAATAATAATAATAATAATAATAATAATAATAATAATAATAATAATAATAATGACTCATATTGTGGAAAATAGTATATTTTCCGTAAATAGTGTATTTGTATGTAAATTAAAACATATTGTATTTAATAAAAATTGTTATCGAAAATGGGAAGCCCTGCGCCTGCACATACGGGACTCGCCATTGTTGTTTGAATTGGACAAGAAACGTTAGTGAATAATCGGAAGAATTTTCGTCACTCTAGAGATTAAACTGGGCTGACACCTCTCAAATAGGAGCCGAGATTGTTGGATGTTCATTCCTGCATAACTTGAGATATCAGACGACTGGACAAGACAGCTCCAGGAACCTCAGATAAGCTATCTAAATTTGTGTTACAATTCTGGCCAGCATTATCTTCATAAATTTGGTTAGAATGAGGTTTTTGAGTATGATACACATTAATCTCCAGTCAAATTCGTGAGTGATATTAAGATATATTCTCCTTCTGTTATACAAATGTGTATATATATATAATCATTTATTAATTTTAATATACAGTCCACAAATATATATTTACCAGAATTCCTGGTGATACATATTTCATTTGTAATTAATAGGTCTAGAGCAACTTGTGGATATGACAGTTGTAGGTATCGAAGGGGGACATTTTTGCGACCTAGGTGTCCCAAATTCCTACTTGTCTATGTAACTTTGATAAATAATAATTATTTTTGTTATCATTTACTGGTATGTACACTATGAGTTACATCCAGATAAATGTAATTTTCCACACATATTTTATAAGACTCGATTCTAACTTTTATCAACCCAACCTAGTCCATAAGGATAATTGGATACCGTATCTGTTACCCGAGAAGCAGACAGAGGTTCGACCCATCCTTGCCCTGAACGACCCACAATGGTTTGCCGCTTCACGTAACATAAAATAATAATCAAAGGTGGATTTCAACAGGTCCCGTTACTGAAGCTCCTTCACATTTCTGACTGATGACTTGAGAGGCTCTGGAGTGCGTCTTTCCAAGGGGTAACTGCGGTGTTTTGGACATCGCTAGAATTATGTTGAGTCTTGGATCCATAACCACGTCCTGCCCATAAGAGGGAAGAAAGCGTGCGTTGCCTAAATAAGCTCTGTTTGGGACAACGTTTCGCTGTGTAGAACTTCCATCATAAGGTAAAGCTCTACACAGAGCGAAATATTATTTAATACAGCTCTGCACAACGAAACAAGACGCGATGAAGCTTGAAACAGTGAAACATGACTTGATACTGCTCTAAACACAAGATAAACATTACCTGATGGACCTTTACACAGGAACAAGACGCGATGAAGCTCTACACAGAGTGAAACATGATTTGGTACAGCTCTACAGAGAACGAGACAAGACTTGATGAAGTGCTACACAGAGAAACGTGACTTGATTAGACTCTACACATAACGAAAACTAACTTGATATTCTACGTAATTTGATAAAGCTCTACATAGAGCGAAACACGATAAATCTTTACACAGAGCCAAAAGTTCACCCAATAAAAGCTAGTCCCGCAACTCGTTTCTTTTGTTTACGTTCATTTGAAGTCAAATGAGGACTGGTGTGCGCAATCACCCACGTGGTCGCCTTTGGCTAAGCATTCCATTATGTCCAAATGTCCTTTTGTATTTAACATTAACACGGTTCCTTAGAGCTTTCCAAGCCCCATATACACGGGTTCAGCGCTTTTTGTATATATTATAATAAGAGAGATTCTTAATATTATGTCACGGGTTAATACCAACAGCTTGCCTGGTCAGAGGCCGGACCAGGAACAGTGTCAGGTTGGAACCTCTCCCGACTCCTTGTGCTGAATTCCCCACATGGATTTTAACACTCAGCATGAAGCACATAAATTAAAGAGCTTTTTTCCGGCAGCATAGCACTTCCAAAAATAGTTAAACTTTGAGTTACGAAAGATTCTTAGCTTAGCAGTCCAGAGGTGGACATAAACACGGCCGGTAGGCCATATCCGGCTCGCAAAGGAATTTTATTCTTTCGTACTGTGTTTAGCAATTTATATTACCTCCAATTTAAGAAACAATTTATTTTGATATGATTATGTCTTGATCAGGAGGGGATGTTAGGTAGCCATAGCAGCAAGACTCAGCAACGCTGGACTTACTCAATATAACCTTACAGATTATTCCGTGTTCCAGAGATCGTATCTTCACGTGCCCAACTATTAATTTATTTCTTTTGGCTCAGCAAAGACCACGTCAATCTATGTATTTCTGCATCAGTGAATATGTCCGTGTTTTCTTCCCCCTTGGTGTTTGCTCTGAGCAACCAGGTCTCCCGTAGCTCGGTTGGTAGCGCACTCAGCTCACACACTGAGGTCACGGGGTCGACTCCCGGTAAGGGTGGAAAGTGTTTCCTTAAAACACCTGCTGTCTATGTTCACCTAGCAGTTAAATAGGTACGTGGGTGTTAGTCGACTGGTGTGGGTCACATCCTGGTACAAAATTGACCTAATTTGTCCGGAATGCTGTGCATAACAAGAGGCTTTCTATATAGTAGTATGGCATTGATATCAGCTATGGTCTGTATACTTTGTACTGTAGAAGTAAAGATTATTAATTTTATTATTGTTATTATTATTATTATTATTATTATTCGTCACGGCGCCATACATCAGCTCTTTCTAGGGTAAAGAAAAGCTTATTTTGTTGTTGACTCAGATAGGTGTAAGGCTATGTCGAGGTTTAG